ATGACAAACGATAAACAACAACAAAAACAACGGTAGCAACGACATTATGATTAAACAGTTCGATGACATCTGTGTTTATGATATCTCCATCAACCAAAACAACGAAAAATATATAGCTAATTAAATCAACATAGAAACAATGAGGAAAGATTTTTTTGTTTTTTTGGCTTTGCTGGATAAATAATACGGAAGTAAGAAATTTTTTTTTTTTGCAAAAAAAAGGATGATGATGATCGAATGTCAAAAAATTCTTTGCTTACTACTTCGTTTGGTTTGATTTATCAGGATTGAGAAACACTGTGAATTCCAAAGGAAAGAAAAGAAAAACAAACATTCTTTCTGTGTGATTGTGTGTGTGAATCTTTTTTTTTTATCCATGTAAAGTACTTTAACCTTTTTTTTTTTTTTGGTTGTTCTCGGGTTAACTTTTTTTTTGTTTTCCTTGATCGATAAATCTTGATTTGTTGTGAAATAAGGATGAGGAGAAGAAAAAACCCTGGTCATTTTATCCAGATAAATTTTGACACCAGATATGATTGGATTTATGGACACCCGAAAAAAAACTGAGAAAAAAAAAGTGAAATATTTTTTTTTCCTCCCCCTCCCCTCCATTTGATGAAACAAATAAGAAATTATGCATAATTAGCAGAAAAAAAATCAACAAACAAACAAACAACCAAAAATGATAAATAAACAGACATAGACACAGACATTTGGTTGGGTGATACGTGATTAATCACACAAATAAAAAGATAATTTTTGTTTTCTGTTGAATATGGAAAATATCATTGATTTTTAATTTCCGATTCAAATGAATATATATTTCTTCAGTAAATATGGCATCATTTTGATTATCATTATCATCGATCGATCAATCGATTGATCGGTAATAAATAAACAAAACAAAAACAAAAAATTCAGATATGATCCAGACGCGACACTACGTTTGCAGTTTTTTGTTGTTGTTGTTGTTTTGTTTTTTGGTTTCTAATTTTGCTTTTTGTTTAGTCTATTACGATTATTGATGGTTGCTTGCTTTGGTTGCTTGGTTGACAAAACCACATTAGGTCATGATAGTCGTCCGCATATTGATTTTTGCATCTTGAATTTTTGAATTTTCAAATTTTTTGGACAAACATCTTCCCATAAGTCTTGGAAGAAAATGAAAAAAAAATCAATAAATCAAATGAAATGTGTCACTAAACAACAGCGAATATATTTTTGGAAAAAACCATATCAAAATGTACAAATTTTTTTTTTATTTTTCCTTCGAATAATCGTCCATAATCATCATTATGAATTGATTGATTGATTGATTGGTTTTTTATCAATTAGCCTCAGCCATTCGATTCGTTTCATTTGAAAAAATTTTCCGTAGACATTTTGAACGAAACGATCAAAATCCAAACAAACAAACCAAAACCAAAACCAAAACCAAACACAGTGAAAATCAAACATAGACGGATGATTTTTTGGATGATAATAAATATCATTGATTTTTAAGCACAAAAAAGTAGGAAAAAACAAAACAGATATGATAAATATCGATATAAACAAACAAACAAACAGTTTTTTCTTTCTTTGCAATTTTCCATTTGTTTTTCTGTTCTGTTTTTTTTGAATGAATTTTTTTCTGATTTTTTTCTGATTCTTTCTTTTCTGATTCTTTTGATATGATTTCTTTGTTCTGGCGATTCCAAATAGCAAAAGATAAAACGATGATAAATGACGTAATGTTTGTTTGTGTTTGTAGGTTTCATTTTGGATGATAACCAGCACTGACAATGAAGGGGGGAAAATGGTATCAAAAACAAAACAAAAAAATTTATCAGATTTGAAATGAAGAAAAAAAATCTATTTGCAAACTATATGTTGATGATGAGCAAACAAGCAAATCTATAATGGAAAAAAAAGAGACAAAGATATTGCTGTGGTTGCTGTTGTCAGCTAACCTGTTGATTAAACGTAATTTGGAATTATCCTGATCAATCTGAATGGGAAAATCCATACAAAATAAAAAAGTCTAGTAAAGATCGATATTCGCAATCGATTTTGGGCAATGAAAACCAAGCATGTTTTTGCTAAAAAATATCCTTTTTTGATTCAATATTAAAACCAAAACAAATTGTCTAATCATCATCATCATTATGCGATTTTTTTTCCTATTTTGGTGAAATAATTGTTACTTTCTCTTTTTGTTTCACGTTGTTGAGAATACTCTATTCGATTGATTGATTGGTAATAATGAATCGACGAGATGGTTGCTAAGCTGTTGCTGCTGATGAATTTTAAAAAACTTGATTGAACAAGGATGATGTGAAAAAATATTGGCTGTTTCTTCATCATCATCATTTTCTCATTATATAAGAGTTACATTGAAATGTGAAAATGATGATGATGGAAAAAAAACAACCTGAAGGGTTGTCGTCCATTGTATGATTTGTTGTTTGACCATGAACACCACCACCACCACCACTTAATTTCTGATAAGCAATCAAAAACTTTACTTTATTTTGAATTGATATTTTGATGATGGGAACGACAAAACTCTTTTCATATTTTTTAATGGAATTTTTTTTTGTTGTTGTTTTGGAAAAAAAGAAAAAAGGTGATAATGAAATCAATTGAAGGTAGGTGCCATTCAATAGCCAGATTTAATCATTACTGTGATGGCGCGTCTATCCGGAAATTATCACCATCTAATAGGAAGGTATTATCTAGGAATATCTTTCCTTTAGGAATGATGGTAATTATCAACAAAAAAAATCAATGCAGCGCATCCATTTCGATTTAGAAGAACAAGAATCTACCGCCATAATCATCATCATCATTATCATTATCATTAGCATCATGATAATGATCGACATCCATTGTTGTTGTTGTCCTTTTTCATTGATGTTATTAGTTAGTTGCTTGTCAATTTGGGTGGCACACCTCTGTGTTCAATGTTTTTTGTTTTTCTTTTCATTCATTTCTATGATGCACATCTATTCTGGCTCCAATCACCAACCAACATTGTCTATTGGGAAAAAAACGAGAAAAAACATTGGCGAATATGACGCCCAAGGGAAAAATAGAGAGAAATTTTTAAAACATTCCTTAAATGAACCAGAAAAACAAAAAATATCATCAACATTGGATCACTGGGTATCATTACTGAATGTGTTGTTTTCGTTTTTCATTAAATTTGAATTGGACAAAATGAAATAGAAAATCTCTCTCTTTGTAGAAAAAAGAAAATGAAATCCTCTTTCTTTAAATAATTCATCATCAATGTTGGCAATGAAAACCAAAAACTAAGGAAAAAATTAAGTCAATTTTCTTTCATTCAAGAAGAGAATACTTTCATTCATTCAAATCATTATTCCATAACTAATATTGTTGTTGAATGATGGTTGGTGATGGTGATTATGATTAACCATCCAGCCAACGAAACAAAAATGTATAAATAAAATACAGACAGGTTTTCAGGAATCCTCTTCTTCGTCAATTATCATCATCATCATCATTATAAATGGAACCCGTTGATGATTATGATTATGATGATCACGATGGAAAGTCTATTTTCATTTTTCATTTTTTCATTGTCTTTCATTGACTATCCATCCATTCATCCATACCCATTTCTTTCAGTTGTTGTTGCTGTTGGTTGATCCATTCAATTCAATTCAACTGCTATAATATTTTCAGAATGATTTAGTGATTTCTACCATCATCATCATTATCATTTCAACCGACTATTATGGTTTTCTTTTACTTTTTCCATATACCATCGAATGAATGAATGAAAATGAAAAATGAAAATTTTCTCTTTTTCTCCCCCTTTTCTTTTCGCTGTATTTTATCACATCATCATTTTGAAATGGCTAAAAGAAATGAAATGAATGGCTACTGATAGTGTGTTGGTGTATTTTATTTTCTTCGTTTTTTTTT